ATGGTGCGAGGATAGAACTATTCTAAAAATTTGAAATCTTTTTTTTTACATGGAATGATTTTGAAATTTTCTAAAACCTTTAATGGTTTAATAATAAATAAATGGAAGTTTAAAAAGTTCATCATCGTTGCTAAACCCTTGAATAGTTCCTTATGACACCTTATTTTAAAAGAGTATAGCATCATATCGAGCAATCTGACCTTTTGGAATAATCAAGTACGCAAGATAAAACTGTTGTTTTTGCAATCGGTGACTAGTGAGAACATAATTGAGACTGGATTTGTTTTTAAACTAAGGTCAAAATTTTTTATGATTTGATGCCCTCTCTCATGAAAAATCTGAAAATGATCTTGAATTTTCTTTTTGAACTTGTTTGACTATACAAAACTACCAAAAACTATTCGAGAAAATTTTTACAAAAAAAAAACGTTTGTTTTACGAATTTTCGATTTTTACTGCTCAAAGTATTTTGAGTATATTTCCATCAAACCAAAAGTTTTTTCGAAAAAAATTTTTCTTATCAAAATGCTTAGAATTAAAACCTATACAAACATTGAAATTTTCATCAAAATCGATGATCAAATTTGAGATCCCATGGAAATATCCATATAAAAGTATAGGAATGAAAACCGGTTCGATTATGATTGAGCAATTTATTATACTTGAGAACAGGTCACAGAGGTGGAAAGTGATATTGTTTTAATAAAAGAATTCATCTACAGATGATGAACACAGAACAGGACGGAAAATCTTGTCCTGTGCTCATCTCTGATATATATATACATATTATCGTGATAAACAAAGCATTCATGTATATATCCACAACTACGACGTTTAGCATCAATAGTGCGTTCCATTGCAGTGTCATCAGCAATAAGCAAACGTAGACTTAGCGAAATTGATCAAGTTTTGGAAGCAGAGAGACACTAAGTGAATCATGAATCTATTTTTTTTTTGGTTGCTATCTCTCCTAGTACCAATTTTTTTCATCTCGACACGTATTTATCGATGGATTGTGGAACACTGAGTATGGTATCTATCATAGAATTATCTCGTATGAAATTCTTTGCTAACATATTAATTTTCTATCTAATGAACATAAAACATATCTCGTATCTTGGACATATGTGATATGAAATTTCGATTATTATAAAAATAGAAAATAATATTTTCTTGAAGACTTTTTTTTTTGTATTAGATAGATTTAAAAAACTAAATCTTTTTTTTCACTGAAAAACAAATTTATTCAAAAGATTTTTGAATTTTGAAATAAGTCAAAAATTAATATGTTCAAGAAATAAGAGAATATTATTTCACACACTCTAACTTGTATTTATTTCTGTTTAAAAAGAAAAAGAAAAAAAAAAAAAAACTCAAATATAGACAAAAAAAAAAACAAATATTTTATTTTAGTCCAGCTGTTCTGCCAAGAATAAGACTAGTTGATAATGGTGACATTCGTTCAATAACTTGTCGAATAGCGCTAACATCTTGATGAAGACGATTAACAGCTAATTGTAGATCAGTTACACGTTCACCTAAATCTTGTGAATATGCTTGAATATGAGATTCAGTATGTACTGATAAGGGACCATGTGTATCTACATGTGCTCGTTGACGAGGTGATACATGTATCGTTGATTGACGAGTTCTAGGCGTACTACTAATCGAACCTTCTAGTACACGATCAGTTTGTCCAATAAGTTTATCTTCGATTAATTCTCTTAATCGAGTTATTTCTTCAAATAATAATTTTTGATTATCAGTTGTTAAAGGTATTAATTCTTGTTGAGGTTTAGTTAATTGTTCAGTACCACTACTTACATGAATCGATGGTCGTCTTGATGGAGTTGGTGTATTTAATTCTAATTTTTTTCCAATTAATTCTGTTGATGTTAATGGTTTTGATGCTAATTGAATTTTATTTAATGTTGTATCAATATTATTTAATTTTTGTTGTAATTGTATACGAAATGTATCAAATTGTATATTTTGTTTATCTATTGTTTGTCGAAGAGTTGTTAATGCTTTTGATTGTTGTTCTTCACGTGATTGTCCATAAGCATCAAAATTAATTTCTTTCCAATGTAATAATAATGGTGAACAAAATTTATGAATAAGTTCTTGAATTTGTGAACGTTTATGTTTTGATAAACGCCATTCATAATTTAAAATAACTTCAATACGTTCAAGAAGAAAACGTGCTTCAACAGTTGAAAATGCTTCTGTTTGTAAAGCATTTGATATAAGACCAATAAATATATTAATAGCTAATATTGCAGTTAATAATAAATATGTACTACAAACAAATGAAGCAAAATAACGATCAATAGCTGTAAATGCATCAATTGGAACTAAAGATGAAAAATAAAAAAAGAGAAACGATTTATATGATTTGTTTTGAAGGTATAAAAGTCTTACTATCATCAACTAATGCAATACGAAAAATTGAAAATAATAATGAATAAAATGTTTCAAAACCATTTGGTTGAACTAAACGACATGCTGCTGTAGCATTAAGACATTTTGCTTCATCGAAATCACTTAATGAACTATTAAATATATATTGTCCACGACTTCTATATGAATCACTAGTTCCATCATAAGGTATTTGTAATTCATATATTGAACAATGAAGTAATGCATATTCACATATTTCAGGAGATTTATCATAATCATTATGCATTATTTGTTGACCACCAAAAACAGCATAGAATACAAGTGCATATGGTGCAAGAAGAAAAAGAAATACCATTAGAAAACGTATTATATCATCGAACATCATACGAACCTATAAATATTAAGATATGAATAATTTTATATTCATATCCTTAACTTATAATGAGAAAACTTATCAATACAACTCTTTTGGGGTTAAAATATAGAACTCATATATGTTCTCTAACTTCATTATACTAATACAAAATCTGTTAGTGCAATTCCTACAGGATTAAAATATGAAACACGATGTAGCTACTGTTACTAATCATAGGATGATTGCTTTGTTTTATCGATTTTGGGCTACACTTCTTTACCAACTTTTTACTTAACCTTCCAATGTATATGTTTCAAAAAATATATTAAATGAAAAATCTCGAGTAGACTGTAGTTATTTTCCAAAGACAATCGATCATCAAGAAAACGATCTATTTGATTTATTTCTACATTTCGAATAGGAGTTTTTTCGTAATTATTCTAACTATTGATTTAACTAGCAAATAAGCCTATTGTACATATTCATTATATCTACATCTTCAGTATAAATCCTTATCTGTACAAAAGCCAGAAACTATACTATTTCGTATATTCATAGACATATTCCAGTTATCCAAATCTCAAGAAGGTTTTAGTACAGTCTAACGAGAGGGCATATTCCATTGATCGATCGCTTTTGATTTCAGACCCTCTGTATAGGGTAAATTTCGATGAAATATAAAAAACCTCAAAAGAATAAATCTCCTTAGATCTTCTATCCAGAGTTACAGAAAATGTACTAGAACATTAGCTTCTGGCTTGGTATACACTAACAAATTGAATAATAGTATTTCGACTTGTGATTTTGCCTGCAGACAAATCTCGAAATAATAAAGTCTCAAAAAGCACTGATATATACCACGAAAGATGCTAGAATTTTCTATTTTTTGGGACTTCAATATCTCGAGAAGGAAATATTCTTTTAACATAAAATTTTCAGAACATTCTACTAACAAGTAGATCTATGTGTGCACAAAACTTCAGGTCGAAATACTGCAACTCACTGGAGTCTATCTTATACACAGAGTTCGAATTCAAAAGCAATTGATTAATTGAAAACATTGTCTCACAAGTCTTATTATTAATTCCTTTTTTCATAACTAAAGAACTCTGTGAAAGAAGTCTGACGTCTGTTGTCCTCGGTTGCTAAGTATACGTACTCAATGATCATTGATCTTCCTTCCCATTGCTAATAAGGGAGTGAAGGATCCACAAAATCTCGACTTGAAACTTACACTTACTATATTTTTCTTCGAAAAAAAAAACCATAATGTAAATCCCACAAAATATCATTCTTTTCAAAACTCACATAATAGTGCTCAGCATTTCAATATAGCTACATCATTTTGAATCCAACTTGGATAATGATAATCACTCTGAATAATCTTTACAGTTCAAGATTTAATGATGCTGATCTATGTTCACTTTTTTTCCTATTCTAAACTTACCATAATAACTAATTCTCCTAATTTAATTTCAACTAATTTTGATCTTAATGTTTTAGCTGATATAGTTATTGTTCGAAAAAAGACCATAAATCGAAACCATATCAATATAACTGTTATTGATGCAATATACATATGTATACGTGCACGTAATACTGTATGTGCATTAACATCAATACAATGTGTTATGACTGTAATTATACAAAGTATATAAACAATCCAATCAAATAAATTATTTAATGAATAATACATATAATAAGCTCTAATACGAGTTTTTGCACGATCTCGAAAATTTCGAGCAAAACGAGCAATTCGTGATCGTCGTCGATTTAATATTGATGGAGATATAAATGACATATCAGGTTCTGTTTTCTTTTTTGAACTACCATCGATATTTGTTGGTGAATTAGTTGAATTAACATTAATATCAATAGGTGGTTGTTGTATTGGTGGAGATTCTGTAGGTTTACCTTTAATAATTGTTGGTATTGATGGTGGTAATGGATAATGTTGAGAATGATGAGAACGTAAATTTGGTAAAGTTGGATTTATATTTATATTTGTTGTTGTATCATCAATAATAACATGTTCAATTTCTCCTGTATCATTATTAAGTTTTGCAACATAATCAACTTTTTTTACACCAGTTTGTGGTGTTTGTCCATTTGTATTTGATTTATATTTATTTTTTGATATTAAATCTAATCGAACATTAGTTCGTTCTGATTCCCATATAAGATAATCTTCATAACGTTGTCGTGAATAACTTATATCAAACATTTCTTGTACGATTTCCCATACAAGAAAAGCAATACTTATTCCCCAAAGTATACAACGCCATAAATCTTGTGGAAAACGATAAACATAACGAATAGGAAATGGTGTCATTAATGAACTACATGTCCATGATATAAGAAATAATAATTGAAGTCCTAATCCAAGATAAAAACGTTTTGCTGCAAAATTATCCCATTTCCATTTAATTAAACCTTTTATAAGTGGATGTGTTATTAAATCAAGACGTTCATGATAATAAATTGCTTCTAATGGTGTTATAGAACGAAATTGTGTACCATCAGGTCGAAATTTTTGTGTAATTGATGGTCGAGGTGCATAAGTTGGTACAGTCAATACTGATGAACCTATTGGATTATTATTTTGTGATGAAACTGTTGTTTTATGAGTAACCATGTGCGATGTTGATGAATGAGAACTACTTGATATTAATGGTGTTGTTAGAGATTTATCTTTACTACCAATTTTAACTTGTTTCTAAAAGTTAAAAAATTCAAATAATTCAAAAAAAAAGAATAATGTAATCACAGTTCTTCTAAGACTGAAATGTCGAGCTCACATATTCTATATACGCTAGCTCATTTGGTTCAGAAGTTATAGGTGTTTTCTTGAGACTATTGAAATCAGCCAAACGACATCCAACGAAGCCGATATGGATCCACACAAGAGTAATCGACCACGTTGAGTCCAGTGGCAACATTTGTTTTTATTTTGAAAGCTATCTGAAGTAGCTACATTAACATCTAGCATGTCAATAGTTTCATGTTTTCCTAGCTGTGAAGTGATAATATCGAAAAGACTGATATAGTAGCTTTAGATAGATTCCAAGATAAAAATAAATATTATCACTCGACTTAGCATAGTCGATTACTCTTGTGCTGACCCATGTTGGCTTCGTTGGATGGTGTTTGACCGATTTCGCTCCTGAACCAAACAAGCTAGAGAGCTTGGCCTAGCGTAGATCGAAGGAGAGCAATTTTTTCTATCGCATAATTTGATTTCAAGTCAAAATCCAATGGCGAATAATCTCGAAATATCGTTTGCAAAATGTTAAGTATATCATTCACCTCATTGATCAATTGATGACCAATTAGATTTTGAGTTACTTTTACCAAGAATATTGTTTTATTTCAAATAATGAAAACCGAAGGTCTCTATCTTGTTTCTATCAAAAGTTATTGGAAAAATGATCACCTGTCTTATATTTTAGCGTCTATAATAGTGCACATATTAGTACCTTAATTCTACATTCTTTCCTTTACCTATTTCTCTCATTAATCTCAAAATTTCAACCAATGTTATTCACTATGCAAATCTCTTATTTTTGCCGGCGCAACTACGATTGACAGTAGTATTAAAATGATTGATTTATTAATCAAAGACTTTTAAATTTGGTTTCTAAGATCTGTAATGGGTGAATGTAGATCGAAAAACTTCTGTTAATTATTGTCTTCGAAAGTAGTATATGTGAATTCGACAAAACATAACCAACCTTTCGAAAATCAGGAGCAACAACTATTTCATTAATAAGACTGTCTGAATCATTTATATCAAATTCTTCCCTAAAAAAAAAAAAAAAGATAAATTAATTGAAATATTTCAATTAATATAATACCATGGTTCAATATGATCAAGATAAAGATGAACAACTTTTTGTACTTCATTAATAACAATTAACGAATCCATTATATCAAGTGCTATTGTACTTGATTCATCACTGAATAATAATGCTAAAAAAACTTGCATACTATTATCAACTGATTTATATAAACAAACATTGCATTTATCACATGGTCTTGAACGTTTGCTAGATATTTTAACAAAACCTGATTGACCACAATTAAAACATTGCCGTTTAGCTTGTGTAACACCAGTTGGTGATACACCACAATGACCATCACGTAATGAATGTGATAAATGTTCATATGATTCTTTCCATTTAGAATTAATTAATTTAATAACAGCATAATGTTTAAATTCATTAGCTAATTCCAGAGGTGTTTTATTTTCATTGTTTTTTGTTAACATCATATTTGCCCAAAACCAAAATTTAACACGAGATATATTAAGAAAAGAATTTAAAGCATTTGGTGTATCTTCACGAGCTAGAAAATATATTAGAATTAAATTTAGATATCTTTTTTCTGTTCCAATATTAGGCTTGTACCAAGTTCGGGCAGCTCAGTCTGCTTTGGGCTTTGTCAGACTCCAACTCGGCTTAACTGTGACTCGATACATGCCTATCCAATATAAATAGTTTTGTCTATTAAATTTTTATAATGGACAGTATAAGATGTGCGTCAAAAATTTTTAGACAGTATGTTTTTCTATTTTTCGATCGATTAAGAAAATTGGTAGAAGGTATTAAACATTTCATTAGAATCAGCATTTTGTATTCAGAATATTTGTAAGACTTAGAAGTTATGAGCAAATCTTTGAAAGGTCTGAAAACAAAGTTTGCACAGGGACGATTCCACTAACTGATGCGAAGGTAAAGAATGTGGCCGTACTCTGTTGATTTTTTTTTCTTGACCGCATCATGTTTTGCATCAGCACATGAATAACAGGCTTTCTTCTCAGAGATGATGCCACTTATTGCGTAGCATAAAAATCGAGGCTGTTCTCTAGAAAATTAGCTAAGAACTGAGAGTCTCGTGTCTATCAGCCATAAACGACAAGACTAGAAAAATTCTAAAAGGATTCGTACCTATGAGCCTCTACACCGAATTATAACTGTTTTAGTGAATTTTCGAACCAGCTTTAGGTATTTACCGAAAAAACAAATAACAAAATTTTTTTTTTTTCGACATATTAAATTTTCAAATAAATTCCATTTTTGTAGCAAACGACCATGTGTTGGAAATTTAATATCTCGACAAAGGAACATTCTTTTCGGCTGAAACTTTCGGATTATTTCTAGAGTCATCAGATGTATTCTTGAGTGAAATTTCAAGTCGAAAATTTGTTATTTGATTTTTAAGTAAATACACAGAGCTGAATCAAAACTTCACTAAAACAGTCATAACCTGACTCTAGAGCAGAGCCCATCAGATCCGAATCTGAAAATTTTGTTTCGATCAGATCCAAAAATTCTTCGAACCCATAGGCACGAATCCTTCTAGGAAATTTCAGACGGGTTCCTTGTAAAACTTAACTGTTTCTATTGATAGATAAAGAAAATTTCATTTACCTGCTATATGAAGTAAATTATCACCATAAGTTAAACTACTTTCAGATAAATATGTTAATAATTCATTATCCAATATAAATGAAAGTAATGTTTCAAGACAAATAGAATTATTTAAATTTAATCTCATATATGTATGAATAATCATATCACCATGTGTTGATGAACGTGCACGTAAACAATTTAGATCTTTTTCAATTAATAATCGTACTATTTCATAATTATTCATTTGCATAGCCATTTTTAAATCTATTGGTTGTATATGAATTTTTTCTTGATCAAGTAAAAATTTACATACATCATCATGATTATATAATATTGCTAGACTAAGTGGTGATTGACGATCAGTATTTAATTGATTAATATCAACATGTGATGATTTAATTAATGTACGAAGTAATTCCATATTACCTAGAAAAATAAATAAAATTTGAATTTATATTTTTCAAAAATATGAATAAAACGAATTATTTAAAATCGAGATTTTTTTTGGAAATTCAATATCTTACAAAGAAAACATTCTTTTTAAGCTGAAATTTTCAAGACACTCTAGTCATAAGTAGATCTATCTGTAGGCCAAAGTTCAGATCGAAATACCACTTAATTCGATTTGTTGGTATACAGCGTGCCATTGCCTGAAATTCATATAAAGCTGCTCTATAACTCTGAAGGGAAGATCTAAGGACATTCATCCTTTTGGGGTTTTTCATGTCTCATTGGAGTCTACCTTATGCGTAGAGTCCGAACTTAGATATAATTTAGCACTTGAAACAGTTTCCTCGTAGTTCAATGCTGAGTATTCAAAAATTTATAACAAAGTAACATCGATAATTATTTAAAAACTCATTTACTCAACAAAAAAGATTTTGAAGATTAGAAAAAAACACAATTATTTATCATACACCTGTAGAAATTGAATAATTAATAAAAAACCTAGTACAAAACTGTCTCTTAGAAGATTTTCAGAGCATACTTCTAACTTAGTTCCAATGTAAAGAGTCGAGATTATAGATGTGAGAGATTAATTTTGTTTCTGATTCCTCAAAACTACATTGAGACCAAAATTTGAAATTTCGTTAGAACTGAGTCTACGAAAAGAAAAAGTTAGTTAAATCTTCTATGGTTTTGAGCGAATTATTTTATGAGTCATTTTAATGAAAATCAAGTTCAAGAGATATAATAAATATCAAGATATATGAAAGATCGTACAATGGTTTTATTTATTCACCTCCGTTATTTTACAATGTCTTACGAGAGAGATTCCGAGTTACTGAATCTAGATCTATCTAGAAAAGTCTCAAAATATTTCGAACCCATCAACCTACATTCAAGAATAATCTTAAACCATCTCAGGAGATATTGAATTTCTAGTAATACACATGTATTACATACAGTCTTTTATTTAATTCCAATTCAAGTTCAGATATGTACATTTTAACTAATGAAAATGATAAATAAGAAAGAAATAGTTCAAAATAGACCGTCTTTCAACCAATTACAATAGATGAAAGACAGAAAATTACATTTTAAGAGTGAGTAGCGTCTTGCCATTCACACCTAACATATCAAATGAATTGCATTGAAACTGTTATCCTAGAGTTTGCTGATAGCAGAGTCTACTTGATAAAGCCTTCAGATGGCTTTTAAGACCATTCTTTACGATTGCAGGCTTCTATAATAAAGCTCTCTATTTAATAATGTATGTATTATCAAATTCTACTACATATTGTTAACATTTTGATTGGTGGCGCCATCTATCGACATGTAACCAGTATGCAGTAGAACTTGATAATACATACAGCATTAGATAGTCGAAGTCTTCCTCTACAAGCCTACATATATTCCCTACTGTAGTTAAAATGTTATAGCCGTCTTTGCTTATTTTGGATGTTTGAAAATTCGATTTCTCCTGGACGTAGATCGAATTAATCCAGTTGCAGCTGGAAACGGTGTCTTTTCTGAGAGTTCTCGCCAGAAATCTACGGATCTGAAATTTTGAGGTTTTTCTAGAATCATTGGGATCTAACTTTTGGTCAAAATATCGACTGCAAAACCCTTCGATAGCTGGAGATCTTCCTTCGTTAACTATTATGACATATATTTCTATACAATACCTTTTTCTGTTGCTAAATGTAACACTGTATTTCCTCGTTTATCTTCAGCATTTTCATCTGCACCATGTCGAATTAAATATCTTGCTAATGCACCATTTATATTTTCTACACATTCATGTAATGGTGTACGTCCTTGTATATCTATTAAATTTATTTGTTCAATATTCATTTTATTAATAAATATAGCTGCAACATTAGCTTTTTCATTTGCACAAGCTAAATGTAATGGTGTTTTACCCATTTCATTCATTGCAGTTAAATCTAATTGTGTATATTTCATTAATAATTTACACATTCGTACATTATCATCTCTAGCAATTAAATGTAATGGTGTATTTCCATCTTTATTTGTTAATGTAACATCACAATTATGTTGAAGAAGATATTGTGCAAATAAATAATTATCACATAAAATTGCATCATGTAAAGGTGTTTGTCCATCACGATTTTGTGCATTTAATGATAATAGATTTGATGATAAAACACTATCAAATATGAATTTTTCATTTAAATATTTACAATAATGTAATGCTGTATTTAATAATGTATCAACAATATTTATATTTGTAATATCAATATGACGAAGAAAAATAGCAAGTAATTGAAAATTATTATGTTCTAATGCATCTAAAAATGGTGTACGTCCAAGTTGATTTTGTCGATTAAAATCTGCTGATGTTTCAATTAATTTTTCAACATATTTATCATAATCAATATCTTTTTTATTAACTAAATAATGTAAAAATGTATTGCCCTGTTCATCACATGCATTTATATCAAGTGAATATTGAACAAGTAATTCAATTGCATCTATACTTGGAAAATCACATAATAATGGTGAACGTGGTAATTGAGAAAAATAACGTTTCCAATTAAAATTTGATGTTAATTCAAATAAAGCTTTTAAACATAAATCATGTTGATATTTAACACATATACCTACGGGTGTTTCCAATGGATTTAAACGTGTACCTTTTTGAAAATCAGCATCATTTTCTAATAAAGCTTTTAATGCATCTATATTATCTTCATAACAAGATATATGTAATGGTGTACAACCATCTTCATCAAAAATATTAACACGAGCTTTATAAGTTTTAATTAATAAACGTATACATAAACTATCATTTTTACGTGCTGCAATATGAAGAAGATGTGTTTGACTTGAATAATCTAGATTATAATAAGAATTATAATGTTAATAAGATGAACAAAAAAAAAAACTTTTACTAACCAAAATGTGAGTCGGATGTTAATACATTAATATCGGTCATAACTTTAAATAAAAATAATGCTAAATCTGTATTACGTGTTGCTAGAGCATAATGAGCTAGAAAATAAATAATATTAATTTTAATAGATATCAAAATATTTTTAAGGATGGAGATGTCGATTAGAGTCCGTTGAGTTTATCCTGGACTCAGATTCAGGTATTAATTTACTGAGCAAATATAATAGTTACCGAACACTAAATTTTACATTGATAGTCTGTTCTTGTTTAAAAATATAGGACACCTCAAAAATCATTTTACCGAGAAAAAATTGAATATTATTGCCATGCTTCAATCAAATGGGATGATTTTTCATAGTTCAAATTTATAAGAAAAACGTTTTCCATACTATTGTCTTTTGATTTCATATATACACGGTTGGAAAAAATATTATTCCAGGGAGGTAACGCTATAATTTCAAATAGAAGACATAATGAATTTTATATCAA